TTTTGTCTTACTTTTCGATTTCGGCCTTGTCCGTGTGACCAAGGTTCTCGCAATGGCATCCAAGTCAACGTGTATTGGTCATGATGGAAATAAGGGACGGATCATTTATTGTCGGGGAGTTTCCATGTAGTTGAAGATTGAATGATCAATTCATGGTTGTTTGCTCAAACCTAACTCCTCCGCATTTTTTGCGGTAGTCATGAATCCACCAGTCATCGTCTCATCGTTCGCTGTTTGTTGGAAGACAAAACTATCAAAAGTATCATCGTTATTTATTGTTACAACATTTATTCTTAGATCTTGTGTATAATAACCTCATCGTTTGGCACATATTGGCGTAAGAATAAAGGATTCTCGAGTCGCCAACCTGTGTTCTGGTTTTCGCGTTGGTTATTACAAATTTTCTCTGAAAGTCTTCCAAGGACAGCGTGAGTTCCAGTGTAGTAAGAGCTGGGCATTGATAGTTTTTCTGAGAGCTGGCTGACAGATGTGATGCCAATAAAAGAAATAAATGAGATAACGTGAAATGAAATAAAATAAACACTGAGATACAAAATAAAGAAGGACAAAGGCTTCGTGAATCACTTGATGAAGACCACGGTAATGAGAGTTATCTCGTAACCTGCCTTTGTACACAGAGTTCTAACTTTATGGCATGCCGTGTCAGAGCTTCTGCTATGAGTTGCAAATGAATGCGTGACAATTTCATGAAACTCTGTACTCCGTTTTAATAGACACATCAAATGCTACGCAGTCAGTATCTATTGTATGCCACAACATAAATGAGTTAATATCTTTACGTCCTGTTTATCTGTGTCAAGCAGGGAGGTGATCTCGAACGTGGAGGGATGCTTCTCAGCCAGAGCAAAAAACATGTAGTGAAACATTGGATAGGACAGTCGATGCAACATTTTCTCGGCACCAAGATACATTAGTGGATGACTACAACTTCCTATCAATGACGTTGTTAGCCGATTTCCGAAGAATTCACTCGCAGTGTCACCAGTAAAAACTAAATTTAGACGCAGAATCTTACAAGTTACCAATTCCCCCTCTGTATTTCCCCCATATAGTTTTCTGTTGACCTTAATGAAGCGTAGTGGGCATAGATTCCCCGTGAGGGTTTCTTTGAGTTGTCTAAATTCGCCATCAACACTGTCTGAGAAACAAGTTCCCAACACCTTTGCTGAGACAGTACAGATTCACTTCTTCCTTCTGTCTATAAGAACAAAACCGTGAAAATTGATTATTTATCCTGTCCACGTCGATTTTCTGTAAAAAGACCTTTTTGACGACCTATTAGCTCTCTCTGTGAGTATCACATCAAGAAAAAGATAATTTTCTACCAGTTTCTTACTACGATGGAAGGATGAGTGCCACTCACTACTTTCAGGATGTCTTCCAAATTGCAGTTCTAGTTGCATATAGTGAACAAGTCGTCCACTTATTCTTTGTAAAGGCCAAGTCCCTCAACATCTCGTGCGAGAGTGCTCGTGTCCATTCTAGCATAAAGGAAGTCTACTAACAAAGGGCCGATGGATGAATCAATAACTGCCCCATATCTACCTATAAATTTTGTCGTTAGAAAGGGGACTTGACTTTTAGTGCACACTGAAGTATAAGGTCTTATAAGCTCAGTGTGGGTATTCCTATGTTCACACTATGTAGATCGATGCAATAACAAACAAAGCATGCTGTTTCATCAGGCGAAACATTAAGTTAACAGCCAGCATACATCAGGTGATAACATGGATTTTCCAGTGACACTAATTTCACTAATGCAATTAATAAACTTAGAAGCGTCTTACAAGGAATAGCTGCAGATGTGCCTTCTCAGTGGTCTTAGGGGTGCCGCTACTCACTTATAGACATAATGATACAGTGAATATGCATCGGTGGTACGGTGGTAGAATACTCGCCAAACACGCATGGGGTTAGGGGTTCGATCCCCGGTTGACGCACTCCTCTACCTCGTCAAGCCAGTGATAAGACTGATGAGGAGGGATGGTCAGGCATGAAGCTAGCAACTTCACCGCTGCTGCTGAAACTTCAAGCCTTTAGCTTGAAGCCCTATGTTCCACTTGGAACGCGAAGGAATAAAAAAGGAATCTGCTATGTCTCAAATGGGACGAAGCCGTAGTCCAGATTTATAGATTTTTGGCAGGCCAGAGAGTCGGAGAATGATCGATCCAGGTGGTCTAAGCTTATCATGTAACTCATATGTCAATAATGAACCATTCCGCATTTATTTCAAAACCTGTGTGATTTATTCCTCTATCTCCTTTATCTCATGCTTCTGATGTTCAGGGTGTTTTGCACCCACCGATATATCCTTTCAAGTCCACTGTTACAATACCTGCGCCTATATCCGGTAGTGTTAGTAGGATGTTCTCATTCTTCTTCAGTTCGTATAGTTAAATCAAAAGTTCTTTAGTGAGGTGGCAGAGTAGCTTCGGTTTCGATTTTACAAAGTGATGACCATAGTTCAGTAATGATCACTTGAAGTGACATTGGGTCTTATAATAAATTTAGTGTCACGTCCTTCGTCAGGCTTATCATATTTTTAAACTGCGCTTGATCATGCAGCTTCCATGCATTCGATTTAGTAACACAGAATTTTGAGTCATACAACAATATCCCCATCTGGATAGGACTCAGATTAATTACTTCGAAAAGAATTTCGTTAACGGCATTGTTGTGGTGATTTTCGGTTTTGATGCTTTACTTTTGTCAAATCGTACCACAAAATTTCCCTCAGATGAATGTATTCTTACTGCAATCGATGCATTTTTTTTACCATGCGGAACTAAGGAAAATTTTGGCTTTTTACAGAGTACAATCCCGAAATCTCTCCCCACAGTTCACATCATAAAGTACAGATTTTATTTACCACACATTAAATCTCCTTTCAAATGACAGAAACGGTTGCCAGAAGCCTAAACTGAAAGGAGCTCACGATCATGTGTAGTGCTTCATACTTAAAAGGTAGACAGGGATAGACGGAGACATGTCCAATTGCCACGCGCCATCAACTGAAATACGGGTTCGATGGTAATGTCGGAAGTATCAGTGGTCATACCAAGAAGAGGCAAAACCTCTTGGAAGACCAACATAGTGATACGCTTCGACGTTTTATTCTTGTGCAGTCCTTCAAATGCCAGTGAAGTCATGCTTCAGCTTGGGAAATTTTATTGCTAGGATTGAGGCCTTGTAAGGTAGTACGTTACGCTGCTTGGAAGACTTCGAGCTGGTTTTCTTACTGACTCCAACTTAGGATAACGGCCATGATTAATGTGCAACTATTTATCCCGTTAGACTTGAGCTTTGACCACACTACCCACTTACCCTTCAACCTGAATCAGAACATGGCGATAATCTTACAAAGATAGAATCATAATCGAATGTAAAGGCAGTCTGTGCGGTTAATTACTGTTAACTGACTTGCGATCACAAGATAACGATTATTAACTCTCACTCAACCAGTACATTTCCTGACTTATAGCTAACTTCAGCACAGTAAAATTAGAAGGTTGAAGTCTATGAAATATTATTTGCGCTGTGAACCTGACGTGGAGAAGCAGTGCAGAATGTTTTTTCCAGAGATTCAGTACAGTATTGAAAAAATATGACTGGGTTGAAAATCTGATTTGCCAGAGCCATCTGTGTGATACCTTTTGTTGTATTTATCTTCAGTTTCTTCCTCTTCATTTTGTGCTGTCCATTCTAGCAACCTGTTTCCTGAATTTCCTTTGACGGTAACTTTATAAGATATTCGTATTATGAGACTCATAGAAAACATCGCAAGACATCAGCAAAAGTTTACAACCTGGACAGGAGATATACTTCCATGATTAAACTGTTAGATGAGCTTCGGTGCCCAGTGTACTTGCCTCACTTGACCACAGAACTTATATGAACCCGAACTAGAGCAACATATTGATCGTCCAAAATGCGAAATATATTTTAAGATCAGAAACGATGAACGGTGATGTTTGTTCAGTTCGCCACAATTCGTTCAGGAACAACCGAACTTAGCTTGACTGCGTGTCAGATAGTAAGGATGCTCCGCCAAGCATCTAGGTGTATTAACGCGCTTTTCCTAGAATTAATTTCCTAACTCCACAGGCTCGACCACTCAGCTAATTTATCTAGATCACTTTGCTTATTATTTATTATTTACAGCTTCCCATATCTCAGTATTGTGCGCAAATAATGATGAAGATGAAGTAAGAATCCCCGGTAGTTCATTAACGTATAATAGAAATAACAAGGGGGCTAATATAGTCCCAAGGGACACTGCACTGGATACCACCTTCGACCCTGAGAGTACACCGTTGAATCTAAAGTTCTACCTTCTATCCGTTAGGTGATCCCTAAACCACTCACGTAGTCATTGGTCTAGTCCGAAACCCTTAAGTTTACTAAGGAAACCTAAATGGGTTAGTCAGGTCGGATAGTCCTGGTCGGAATCCATGCCGTTCCATCACCAGCAAGCTATGATTTTCCATATGAGCTAATAACCGACCCCTTACAATTGTTTCCAATACCTTTTCTATAATGCATGCTAGACTTACAGGTCGGTAGTTAGATACCGATTGCCTGTTCCCCTCTTTGAAGATAGGGCTTATAAAGGCATCCTCCCAGTCGCTGGTTAGCTTAGCCTGGGTCGAAGACACTCGGAAAATCTCCGTAAGTGAAATATATATTGTAGCCGCCAAGGAAACTAACTGTTTGGGGCGTAATCTGTCAGGACCATTGATTTACCAGGCTTCAGTGAAGATAGTATTTTGAGGACCTTTGTATACTGCTGTATACACATCCAGGGACCTTCCAGTGACTGTACAAAAATTTATCTGGACCTGCTGCTCCACAGTCCATTTCAGACTAGAAAAATCTGCCTAACAATTTTCATTGATCAAAAAGAATCCAAGTTTTACATTATAATCGGGGTGACATTGGATATTGAAGACACGTTTTGCTGTATCGAACAGCTGTTAGTTGCCTTGAGTGATAACAGTTTGATTTTGTGCTGTAGGCGGGCTACTCAGTCCGACCCTGGCCTCCAGGTAGTTGCGGGTCACTTTGGTGGTAAGGTTTCTGCTACTAATTTCCTACGTTTTAATTGGTTATTGGGCATCACCTACTATTTATTTTATAAGCGGGAAAAGTTAAAGAATAGGGACCCGAGCTCACAACAATTCTAAACTTATTCTTAACTATTCGATAATGCCTTTTTATGTTAAATAAAGATTTCATCTACCCGTTGTATTCTGAAATAACACTGGTATTGCTTAGAGAGAGATCTGGGTGGTGAACTATGTCATTTCGTTTTTAAGTAACGCTAGTCGGAATTAAAAATATCCTGTGAGGGCTGGAACAATGCTGATAAGCAAATCCAGTAGCGTCTGATCTCCTGAAAATGCCTAGAAAAAGAACACGGTGCTGAACTAGTGCCATTCATGCTGAAAACCAGCATTGGGCCTAGTTGCTACCGTTGAAGAGTCCATTTCAGAACAGACTCAGAATTCACTCACAATAGAATGCTAGAATTAATGTGTAGAACTTGGGCACTGTGGTAGTAAGTAATTCCATATTAGTTTGTTTATAAGATGTATCACACAGTGAAACAGTATCATATACTAGATGAAGTTTCGAACACAATTTATTGTTCATAATCATATCAATTTTGATCACACGACTTTGAAATTTTAGTTTTATAGTTTTCTTTATCTTCTATTTGTCGTAATGGTAGTAGTATTTTCCAGATATCTGGGACAGGTGTTGAATCATTTCTATTACATGTATTTGCAGTTGATTCGATAAACAAAGCTTCTGTTATCAATCTCTCCCTATACCCTGTGACCTTAGATTTTAAAACTGTCATTCTATTCCATCCTATTGTGGTTGTGTGTAACTGCATGTAGTGCTATAGCTGAACTATTCTCTAGATTTCTTATCTTATTTGGGTCAACCAATCTAGAATTAGCTAGGTTTTTATGTTCTGCTAGTCTGACTGCTCCTGTCTGTTTGGATTCAACATAGAACTTGACACCGAAGTGCAGCAGTTCGAGTTGCCACGTTCCAAGTAGCACACAGAGGTAGACAAGAAGATGAGTGAAGGGAATCAATACAGTCTGACAAGTATAAGAGTGAAACAGAATGGGTAATGGTAGAAAGGAATATGAAAGGTTACAGAGACTGAATACATCTGTGCCATTGACAATGATTTTGAGCTATGTCACCTATTGTCTCCAGCCATTGATTCCTAGAGTCCCGAGGACCCCAACCCAGAAGTCTGCATCTCCCTACCTGACCGACTCAGGATTTCATGGATTGATGAGGCCATGTTTTTGTTTGGCCACCACTTACTCTTTTCCAACCTGCACCTGTATCAGCTAGTAATGCCCGTCGGGGAAGGCGATGGTTAGGCATGGGGAGCACGTAACCTAGCCATCTCAATCTATGTAACTTTATAGCCTCATCTATTGATTTTCCCTTTTTTCCCAACACTCTACGCCTAACGTCAACATTACTTACCTTATTAAACCACCTAACGTGAGAAAGAGATCGCAAACATCTATGATCGAAGGCAGTCAACCTTTTCATGTCTTCAACGTGTATTGGCCATGTTTCAAAGCCATAGAGAAGGTCGGAGCGAACTGATGAGCAGTACACACGTCCCTTGGTTGATAGCCGAATGTCACGCCTACGCTGAAGATGGTGTAAGTCAGCGAAAGCAGCTCGAGCTTTTTGGATCCTTGCTGAGATTTCGTCGCCAATCAGTCCGTTGGTGCTAATACAACTTCCCAAATAGGTAAAGTGGTCAACATGTTCTATCACTTCACTTCCTATCACTAAGTTAGGAGTTGACGTAGTCCAGTCCTGTAGCAGCATCTTACATTTTGCAGGGGCGAATCGCATGCCAAACATACGAAGATTGCTGCTCAAGGCGTTCAGAAGACTCTGCATTTTGTCAGCATCTTCCCCTAACAGGACTATGTCATCTGCATATTCTAAGTCCATAAGACTATCCCCTGGTAACAAGTCGATTCCTAAGTCGTTACGTTCAGTTAAGGATACTTCCATCAGCATATCTATGATGAAGTTAAACAGAAATGGGGAAAGTGGACATCCCTATCGGACACCACTGGTTGTTACCAATTCAGATGACAATTCCCCATAAGCCCTTACACGGCTACATGAGTTTGAATAGAGTGCCTTGATTAGTGCAATGTACTTTCTTGGCACTCTCTTCACAGTCAGACATTGCTATAGTACCTTTCGATCCACGGAGTCGAAGGCCGCCTTCAAGTCAAGAAATATGACAACTGTTGGACGCCGAAAAGTGTGTCTATGTTCTAGAATTTGTCGAAGAGTGAAGATATGATCTATGCACCCTCTACCTGGTCTAAAGCCTGCTTGATTTTCCCTCGTCTGTTCCTCCCGAGTTCTGCTTAGTCTGTGCATGATTACTGAGCCTAGGATTTTAGAGACTATGTTCGTTAGGCTGATCCCCCCATGATTATCACACGAGGACTTGTTTCCCTTCTTGAATATCGGTATAATAAGTGACTTACACCAGTCTGATGGAACTGTCTCTGATTCCCAGACTTTGTCTAATACCTCAGTTAATCTACAAACTAGTATGTCACCCCCATATTTAAACACCTCCGGAATAATTCCGTCGGGTCCTGCCGCTTTGCCTCGTTTCAAATTACTGATAGCTTTTGTGACTTCACTTACAGACGGCGGACCAGTGTCTATATCCCATTCGGCTGTGTGCTGGATGTTGGGGAGGTTCAGTGTGGCTGTAGGCAAGTTAAATTGTCCCTCAAAGTGTTCTATCCAGCGTTCAAGGCGTCTATCCTGAGAGCTAATTAAGGAGCCATTTTTCTCAGAAATAGTCTCACTTATGATTTACCTTCTTCCTCCCATTTCACTGATGAGTCTAAAGAGTTGCCTAGTGTCTGTCTGTCTGTCTGTTTTCGACATAGAACTTTGCACAAATGTGCGGAAGTTCAAGTCGCCACACTCCGTGTAGCACGCGAAGCAAGAGAAGAAAGTACAAGAAAAGCATAATAGAGACAGTGAGCAGAGATGTGAGACAAAGGAGTAATAAAGAAAAACAAAACAGTTTCATTGGAGATCATAACTCACAAGGAGTGGATGCATCTGCGCCACTGAGAACGATTTTGAGCCATGTCACCAATTGTTTCCAACCATAGATTTTTACCGTCCCGAGGACCCCAGCCTGGAAGTCTACACCTTCCTACGTGGCTTAGACCAACTGTTGTGGATTTCATTGACTGGTGCCAAGTTTTTGTTTGACCGCCACTAGCTTTTTTCCAGCCTAACCCTATATCAGCTAACATTGCTCGTCGAGGGAGGCGATGGCTTGGCATACGTAACACATGTCCTAACCATCTCAGTCTTTGTAACTTCACGACTTCGTCGATTGATTTCCCCTGTTTACCTAGAACTCTACGCCTAACCTCCATGTTGCTCACCTTATTATGCCACTTTACACGGGAAATAGAGCGCAGGCATCTATGATCAAAGACAGCTAGTCTTTTCATGTCTTCCACTCTCAGTGGCCAGGTCTCACTAGCAGCCATAAAGGAGGACGGAGCGGACTGATGAGCAGTACACCCGCCCTTTTGTCGATAGTCGAACATCTCGTCTACGCCAGAGTCGACGTAAACTGGCAAATGCGAAGCGAGCCCCCTGTATTCGTGCTGAGATTTCGTCAGAGATCAGCCCGTTGGGGCTGATGGTACTTCCCAAATAAGTGAAGCGATCAACGTGTTCTACCACTTCACTTCCTATTTTTAAACTAGGCGTCAATGTAGTCCAGTCCTGTAACATCATCTTGCATTTGGCGGGAGCGAATCGCATGCCAAACATTCGTAGATTGCGGCTCAAGGTGTTTAGAAGACTCTGTATTTCGTCAGCGTCTTCGCCTAGAAGGACTATATCGTCTGCATATTCCAAGTCAACGAGATTATTCCCCGGTAGCAAGTCAATCCCTGAGTCGCTGAAGTCACTTAGGGTTAAGTCCATTAACACATTTATGATGAAGTTGCCTAGTGTTCCCTATCGCCGATGCTTTTTCCATCTCTTTCGCCTTTGTCAGCCACCACTGTTCACGGTCACAAAACTCTCCGTCGGCGGAGTCGCCACACAGGGCCCAGCCGTCAGTCCGTTATTTGCTACACCCACTTCAGCTGGACCATATCCCCATATACTTCAATCTTTTCATGACCTGCTTAAGCCTAACTGATGTCTAAGATGTGTGACATCCAACACCACGCATCACATTGTTACGACTGGCCCGCCAGTATTTGCAAAGCCTCGACGTTTGTCCCAAGAAAAGCTGAAGGCCGTTAAAGCTGAGTTCGAATATATGGAAATAATCCGGCCAACAAGTAGCCCATCGTCCTCACGTTTGCACGTGGTACCAAAGAATAATGGGTCAGATTGGCAACCTTGTGAAGATTCCGGCAGGTAAAATGCACAAAGCGTTCCATATCGCTACCCTGCACAGCAGTCATTGTCTCATCGTTCGCTTAACACAGGAAGATAAAAAAACCATCAGAAAACTTGTGTGTAATAACCTTATTGTTTGGCACATATTGGCGTAAGAATAAAGGATTCTCGAGTCGCCAACCTGTGTTCTGGTTTTCGCGTTGGTTATTACAAATTGTTTCCGAAAGTCTTCCAAGGACAGCGTGAGTTCCAGTGCAGTAAGAGCTGGACATTGACAGTTCCTGAGAGTTGACTGACAGTTGATTGTTCCTGTTCGTCTTTCCTCGTGTCTGCCCGTCTTCTTTGGACAAGTGTTATCTGGAACTTTTCTGTATTTTTTGGTTAATTTCAGAGATGCCTGGGTCAAAGAGGGGCCGAAGCGTCCTGGAAGCAGGTAGGAAAGTAAGTAATGCTGAGTTGCTTGTTAATTGTAATGATATGGATGATGCTCAGCATGATGAGTCTGTTGTTCATGTTTCGCCGTTTACGGATAGTAAGGGTTTAAAGTTAACTTAATTCGAGCTTCGGTACTTCGATCGAA